CGGCAGGTTCACAGCACCCTGGGGAGGGAGAAGAAGCACCTTCATCCCCCCCCACCTCCTGTTTCATCTGGGGGGGGTTCAGTATGCTGTCCCCAGCCTTCTCCATCAACCCATCTACTGGGTACCATCACCCTTCATCCTGCCACTTGGGGCTCAGCCCCTCTGTGATTTGATGGGTTTGAGCTTCCCCCACCCCACAGGAGCCCCCCACCCTCTCGCCAGCCCCCAGGGGTGCAGCGGCAGTTCTGACCTTGATGTGGCCTCCCTCGTACCCGTAGGGGTACCTGCAGTCCACGATCACACAGCTCTCGATAAGGCTGCTGAACTGCCCTGTCAGCACTGCCACCATCTGCAGGGGAAGCCTGTCACTGAGGGCCACTGGGTGGGGGGCAGGCAGTCTGCCCCACCAAGGGGGGTCGGGGAGAGGCTGCTGCTCCCTTACCATTTCGGGGGAAATATACTTCAGGTCCTGGTGCTTCCCTTCCACCGTCTGCAGGAGGTAAGCCTGGAGAAGAAGGGGTGTGCTGCATCAAGATCCACCCCAGGGAGACCTCCCAGGGCAGAGGCTGTCACCCACTCCCCCCGACCTTGAGGTCTGCTCCCCCAAGTGAGCCATGGCATGGTGCTGGCACTAGAGGAGCAGCGATGAGGCTCTTCATGTGCTACAGGGTCTGCAGGCTGGAAAGTCACAGCCTCAAGTTCCCTTGTCCCCAGGCAAAGGCCACCACAGCTGGGTTTAGGCTCTTGCACTGGCACAGGGCTCTGCTGACAGCTCCTCTGCTTCAGGGGGAAGGGAGCAGGACTCCCAGGCCTCCAGCACCCCCATAGCCCTACCTTGGAGAAGTCCCCAATGAGCTCTTGGTGGTCATTGGCCAGCAGGTTCTCAATCTCCTCATGGGAGAAGGACCTGGAGCGCAGCAGCCATGCTTTCTGCAGAGACACAAACCAGAGTCATCCCCTCAACATTAGCAAGGGCTCCAGCAGAGCCGGGGCACAGGCAGTCCCACCAGGGATGGGCTGGACCACAACAAGGACACCTCACCCCGAGGCTTTCCCCATCACCCACCGGCTCTGCTGTTTCCTCCTCGCTGGGGGTACCAGCCACGCT